ACAACAACAACAATGGAACAGGCTTCAGAAAACATGGAAGACAATGAACAAAGATTTCAAGCTTGATAAAGGGGATAAAAGAGGAGGGAAACAGAAAAAACATGTAAATCAAAAACACAGAGGGAAAAGAAAGGTCTTCTACAGAAAAGAGGAACTCTGGTTGTGTAGTGTATTATGAGCCAAGCTGCTAACTGCAAGGTCAGTAGTTCGAATCTATCAGCCACTCCAGGGGAGAAAGCCTTGTCTTTCTGCTCCTGTAAACATTTACAGCCTTGGAAACCCTGTTCAGGGTCGCTATGGGTCAGAACCGACTCAACAGCATTTAACAACAACAACAGCATTGTTGCTGCTAAGTGTTGTTGAGTCAGCTCTAACTCACAGCAACCCTGTATAGGGTTTCCAAGGAGTGGTTGGTGGGTTTGAACTGCCAACACCTTGTAGTTAGTACTCCAATGCTTATCCTACAGTGCCACATCAGGACTGACTTGCTGGGTAGTAGATATATGTAGCTGTAAATCTAAAATATGCAAAAAGAGTCTTCTATATCTTTAAATTCAAAATAAATTTCCTTGAGAATTAAACTAATTCATTACACAAAATGCTTTCCTACAAAACTGAACTTGGTTCCATTGTAATCTATTAAGATTGCCCTTTCTGTCCTCACATACCTCCTTTATAGCTGACAAAACTATTGCAGTTCCAATATTTGCAGACTTCTGGCATAAAGAATTCAGAGACCCATTAAATCTAAACCAGCTGCTTCAATTTTAGTATCTTGGATGCACACAATATAAATAAAGTGGCAGAATAGTTAAAGGGAAAATTGCTGTTTGACTTTGTTTTCAGTATCTAAGAGAGTTCTCAGCACATTTTCATACAGGTTCATTAGGGGTCAGAACCAACTCAATGGCACTTAACAACCACCACCACCGATTTTAAGAAAACCCTGCGTGGTACCAACAGTTCATACACTAGGTTGCTAACTGAAGGGCTGGGAGGTTTCAGTCTGCCCAGAGGTACCTCAGAATAAAGGCCTGGCAATCTGTCTGTGAAAACCAGTCACTGAAAACCCAGTGGGTTCTCTGACACACGGAAGTTGGAATTTACTTCACAACAAATGATTCTGGCACCTTGCGGCAGGTAGCTTTTTAAACTGTAATGTGTAGAGTTGTACAGGATTAAGCACTGGACTACTAGCCACAAGGCAGGTACCAGTCACTCCTGAGAAATCCTATACAAACTTGCTGTGAGAGTCAGAACCAACTTGATGGTACATAACAACATAATGCTGTGAAGGATAATCAAAACTTTCATTGAAGGTCCTCTCTGCAATCCTGCATACTAACCATATTCGGCCTTTTTTTAAAGAATGATACTTAAATGAAGGCACCCTGGTGACACAATGGGCTGAGCACTGAGCTGTTAGCCAAAAGGTCGGCAGTTTGAACCCACCAGGCATTCTGAGGGAGTCTGATTTTGTAAGGACTGACATTCTCAGAGACCTTATCGAGTAACTGTTCTGTCAGGCAGGGTCACTATGAGTCAGAAGCAGGCTTTCGTTTTTGTTTTATTTTAAACAAATAAGTATGATTCACATGGATAAAAATTAAGTGGCTTTTTAAGCCACTACAAGAAAGAAACAATGGATAGTCTTCTAATAGGAAAGCTTATATACCTACCCACAGAGAACAATTCTTTACATACAATGATAATATAATGCTCCTTACCCACTATCAACAAAATATGCATACCAAATTTTTGTTCCAGTAGAGTACCAAGTTATCTATGCTTTCTCATCTAAGGCCTGACCAATACTGTATCTAGACTACCTGGAGCTTGCTTTGTTCCTGAATGACCTAAATTTGAATCCCAGCTGGGTTAGGACTACTACTACCTAGTGTTTCATTCTGCTGTGTATAAGGTTGCTAAGATTCGGTCCCAACTCGATGACACCTAACAACAACAACTTCATTGTTGTTGTTAAGTGCCGTTGAGTGAGTTCGGACCATAGCCACCTCATAAAGGGTTTCTGAAGAGTGGTTGGTAAGTTTGAACTACCGAACTTGTGGTTCAAACCGACCCTATGGTGGAGTGCTTATCCAGCTATCACATTGGTTAACTGGTTGGTTAAATGCTGTGAAGTTGGTTTCTACTCACAGTGACCCTGTAATAGGGTTTCCTAGGCTGTAAATCTTTATGGGAGCAGAATTAGTAAGTGTAGCGTAGTGGTTACGAATCGGGCTGCGAACCTTAAGGTCAGCAGTTCGAAACTACCAGCCGCTCCGCGGCAGAAAGATGAGGCTTTCTACTCCCGTAAAGATTTACACCCTTGGAAACCCTGTACAGGGTCACTATGGGTCAGAACCGACTCGATGGCACTTCACAACAACAACATTTATGATCACATCTGTATGGAATCTAAGGGTGCCCAGTATAACATGGTTGGCAGTGCTCTGAAGGTCTCCCTGCTCCTCAGGCAAGCATCCTTGTCTCTTTCAGAATACAAGCAGTTCCCTCAGTTAGAAACATCCAACTCACATACAAGCAGTAGTCCTGATGTGATGCTGTAGGATCAGCACTGGACTACTAACCAAAAGGTTAGTGGTTCAAACCCACCAGTCGTTCCTTAGAAACTCTATACAGGCTCTCTACAAGTCAAAATTGACTCGACGGCACTTAACAATAGTAGTTACAAGCCAACCTTCATAAAGCCTATTATATTAACAATTCATAGAACACACCAATGGTTCCTAATAACAAAAGGATACTACATTTTGCAACTTGTGCAACCAAGCATTATTATTATGCTATTGTGTTTATGATGTATCTTTAACATAAATGTATTTTAGTGTATCTCAGAATGTTTCTCTAATGTTTTTAATGCATAGAAAAAGGTACACTAAGACAAACATCTGTTTAACTGATGTCAGACACTAAAAGTACCTAACAGTTCTGACTTACCTAGAGATTTGATTTAAAGGTGGATTTAGGAACCAAACTCCTTCCTAATCCAGGAACTGCCTCTATTTAAATCACACAATCAAACATGATCACCAAAAACTCTCAGACAAGTAGGACAATGAAAGGAATTTCCTAAGACTGTTCACTTTTATAAGCGTGTCTCTAAAACTGATGTTAAGTATAAGCTAGAATCCAGAGTTCAAAATTCACCCTTCCTTCAGCTTGTTCCTTACCACATGATCTGGGTAGTCAAGTGATTGAAAAACGCCAAGTATTGTTCCCTTCAGCAATTAGGACTCCTGGAGACCAAGGAGGCAAGTTTCTGTCTCCCCAAGAGAAGCAAAGCTGTAGGACATTTCCCTGAGAAGGGCAGGTGGAAACAAGAAGATAAAGAGGTCTCGGTTTAATTAGGAAAGCTAAATTAAGTAAGGAAAGGTTACAGAAGATTTAGATCAGCTTCCTGGCTCCACTTTAAATTTACATACTTTCATCTTCTTCAGAGCCCTTTACTAATATTCCTATAAGCTAGTTCTTTTCTTGCTGTAGGGGTCACCACCATATTCAGATCTGATTCATTACAAAGTAATTTTTATGTAAATGAAATCTTATTAAAGGTCGATCATCAAGGGTGAGGTTTCATTGGACCCAGTTTTTCCTTCTATTTCGTTTATTCATCCTGTTTATTTATTTGAGACTAAGTAATTTTAAGACAAGTGCCTTAAATCTTGATCCAGTATCCAATTGGCAATACAAATTAGAGTTCATATTGTATTTCCCCCATAGATGTTTCATGTTTAACACTTTCCTAACTGCCTATGTGTTTTACACAGCCTGGGAGTCAGACATGAGAATGTCTGAATAGATGCTCTGATATACACAAAAGAACTACTTGGGAGAATCAGCGTAGTAGCAACAATCTCCGCAAACACCATCTGAAAACTCACAAAACTGGACAGAACTTGATGATAGAAGAGGGTGGAGCCGGGTGGGGCACGTAGGAGCTGGGTACAAAGAAAAGATTAGGATCTGGGAAGTCAAATGAAAAAGAGCTGCAAGGGAGAGTTTGAAGGAGAACAGCCTAATGTTTACCATAATGCGAGTGGGAGGAAGGACTAGACCAGGTAAGCACTGAGAAACCTCTTGGGGAAAACTGCAGTGGTAAAAAGAAACAAAAAGATCTCACTAAATTGAGAAATTAAAATGAGTCCTCTTGCTCCAGCAAGTCCATGGATTTTTCCAGGAAGCTACAAAACAGCTCTTTTCAACACAGGGATTATATTAACAAAGCAAATAAAGGAAACTTAAACTAAAAATGTGAACCGACTCGATGGCACTTAACAACAACAACAAGCTAAAAATGTAACCTACCTACGCTCAGCAATCTGGAAACGGAAACACTACTCTCTACGTTGTGGGGTGGGTCTCAACCAAGGGAGAGGGGGAATGATGGGGCGATAGGAGGCGGCGTGGAGCGACCAAATTCTCCCAGAATAAGAGCCGCCTTGGACTAAATGCTTATTCTTGATGTACGTTTTTGTGGTCGGTTAGCAGATTCTTAACGAAACACAGGCTTTGCTTCGGTTAATCGGAATCTGATGAATGGTTCGAACAGCAGAGGGGATTCCAGAGTTTATGCAGACACAAGGCAAAGGCAGCGCCAACACTTGCTTTGGGGAGTACTCGAAGACCCCACCCCACCCACTGGGCAGCTAGAAGTCCAGTAAGCTTGATTTGTGACTGGTGTTACAAAGGAAAAAGGAGAAGGAAAAAAGTCAAAGGGCGAGCGTAAATGCCTACGTCCAACTGGAAAACCACGCAATCCCACGGCGAAGTTTGCACGCAGACAATAAATGGAGACCAGGGGACGGAGCGAATGGGGCTAACTAGAGACCCTCGTCTGCTGATTCCATCCTGGCCCTTTCTTTACGGTGCTGAGGCTCAGCCATCTATACAGGGCGGCAACGACTCCGCTCCTCACGCTAGCAGGCCGCCGAGCGAGGAGGACGGTCGGTCCAGCGCAACCCCAGGCTCACACTTACTTTCGTCCGGCCATTGATTTTATAGTTGCCCAGCTTGCCGTTACAGTGGCGGATCAAGTCGTCCATGCTGCTCATGAGCAGCCCGATGGTTTCGCAGCCGGGCTCTTTGCCCTCGATCCAGGTGATCTGATCGCCACGGATGTCCTTGGACGAGTCGCTCTTCTGGCTGACCAGCTGGCCGTCCGTGAACTTGCCCGTGTCGTGCAGGGCCCGCACCTCGTCGCCGATCTGCTGGCCGGTCTCTTTGCCCAGGAAGTCGTCCACCACGCAGATGCCGTGCTTGTTCATGCACGGCACGATGTACTCCAGCGCCAGCTTAAGCGCCGGCGGCGGCTTCGTCTGCCCGTTGGCCAGCAGGCTGCTGCCGCCGTGGCTCAGCCCCTCGCCGGGGGTGTTGCTCGGCGGGTACAGGTTGGCCTTCTCCTGGTACAGCCGCGAGCGAGCCAGCAGCTCCCCTTTCCCGGCCTCCGCCTCGGATGCCGCCGGCCCCTGGTGATCAGGGGTCGCGAGAGGCGAGGACGCAGCGGCCGCCGCGGGTTCGGGCTTTGCCTTGGCCGCCTGCGCGTCCACGGCGGCCGACTGGCCTGGAGCCTCGGCGGCGGTGGCGTTGCGGCGCGGCGCTGCCTTCTTGGCGTCTTTGGCTCCGGCCCCGCCGGGTTTAGAGGGCGCGGAGGCCACCGGCCGCGCGGAGTTGAGATGCGGGTTGCGGGGAGGCGCGGCGTGGCCGTGGGCGCCCCGGGGCTCGGCGGCGCCTTCGCTGCCCTGGCAGACGAGCTTGTGCTTCTTCCAGTCCTGGCGCTGGTGCTCCTTGCTGCAGTAGAAGGAGCTGCGGCAGCGGCTGCAGCGCAGCAGGTTTTCCATCTTCCCGCAGAGCTCGCAGTACTGCCGGTCTCGCTCGCTCGGGCTCAGCCCGCCGGGCCCACCGCTGTCATTGGCCATGGCGGCGGCCGATCGGGAAGGGTAGCAGCCGGACAGCCTCGCTCAGGGCCGGGGAGGTGGAGGGGAGCGGCCGCGGCTCCTACTGCGCCATGCACGCGTCCGGCTCCGGCCTCAGGGAGGCGGCCGGCGTCCCCCGCCGCGCTTCGGCCCGGGCCGCTTCCTAGTCCTCCGGTCCAGTCAGCGCAGCGCGGGCAGCCGCCACCTCAATGCCGCATCGCCGCCGCCGCCGGCTGAGGGAGAGCGGCCTGGCGTCCGAGTGGGAGCTCGGCTCCGACCGCGCGTGGACCTGGGCGCGCGAGACCGGCCACTGCCGCTGCCTCTGCGTTCCGACCGCCGAGCCCAGCCCGTAGGAGAGACCGGAGGGCGTGCGGGCGCCACTCGCTCTGTTCGCTCTGCACGTACACCACGACCCTGCCGCGACCCGAGCGGGCGGGCGGGCGGACGTGCGGAGGGCGGGGAAGCGGAGGGAGTGACGAGGGGAGGGGACGGCGCGGAGGCGGGCGCCAAAGCGCGCACACGCTCGGCGACGGGGCGGTGGCTCTGGCCGCGGGGCGGCCCCCTATGCTCGCCCACAGGCATCTGGCCGTGTCGGACCCCGGGACGTCGTGACCCGCGTAGGGGGCGTTGGGGGCAGGCCGAGCAAATCAGAAAAGTGGGGTCACAGGTCCGCACCCCAGTCGCGCTATGCCACCCAGACCTGGCCTCCACCTGCTTGGAGGAGGTGCTCGGGCTGAGCAGTCGTGGCGGAGCAGGGCCAAAGACTGATAATGGCTGCTATTTGTTTAGGCCCATTGGCTTGCCCTGGGCACGTTCTCCACCAAGTTGCACCGAGGCTATTGCAATCCTTGTTTTGCATATGAGGAAACGGAAATTCAGAGAAGTTAACTTGCCCAAGGTCACCCAGAACTGGGACCAAATCCAGGAATTGGACTCTCAGATTCAAAAGCTGCTTATTCTAGCCTACACACTATTTTAAGAAGGCCCGAAATGGTTAAAAACAAAAACAAGTAGGACAGTGGTGTTAATCCAAGCCCCAGTGCCCCTTTTGAATCTAATTTCAAGGTACTAAAATCTGATGTGCTTTTTCTATTTTCAAGCCGTGAATTTTTGGTTATCAAATTTAATAAATTAATCCATGCTCATTATGAGTTCCATATCATACTCAGGTCCATTTTAAATTCAAACTGATGGATCTGTTGCTGAGAAGTGGGTTTTAGCCTTTACTGAGTGTATTCATCTGATAGACTGCAGGCCTTGCAATAATTACCTTTCAGACTTGCAACCCGAGAGCTGAAACATGTAAGTGGAAAAGGAAACATAAGGAAATATTATAAATCACTTTGTAGGATTTGTTTTTTAACCCAGCCTGACAGAAGAAGCATAAATGCCCTTCTTCAACCAACAATTTTAAATTTGCATTTAATTCTGGTATGTAAATAAACATCATACTGGGGATCCAATGTGGTGAAAGAGGAAAATGAGTCCAGTTATGTGTTGGCTTACTGACCAAAATGTGGGCAGTTTGAGCCCAAGGGATAATGATGTGGTAGTCTACTTTTGTAAAGATTTAAAACCTTGGGAACCCTAGGGAGCAGATGTGCTCTGTGCTATAGGAACACTATGAGGCAGAACCGATTCGAAGGCAGTAGGTTTTTGTTTTGGGTTGGTAAACTGAGATAAATATTATAAACATACCTTCAAATTCCAAACCAAACTAACAATCCAGAAATCCTGTAATTACATTCTGTAAGTGGTGCGGTAGGATAAGCACTAGACTGCTAAACTCAAGATCTGCAGTTCAAACCCACAAGTTGCTTCTCAGAAACTCTATGTTGTTAAGTGCCATCGAGTTGATTACTACCCATAGAAACCCTGTATAGGATTTCCAAGGAGCAACTCATGAGCTTGAACTGCCAGCCTTGTGGTTCAAACTGACTTCGCAGTCCTGCACATTAAACCACAGAGCCACACCAGGACTCCAGAAACCTTATACAGGGTCACTATTGAGTCAGAATCAACTCGATGGCACTTAACCAAACAACATCCAGGAAGCAAAATCTGGCTCTATCTAAACATCCAACCTTTACAGAGATTTATTAAATACACAAAAAAGGTCATTTATTGGTATTACTAATTAGACGATGTAGAGCATTCTATGTGTTACACTATCCTTGGCACATAGTTATATTATTCTATGAGGCCCAGCATTCATCTGTCATTTTGTTGAACTGTGGAGACTTATGTGTTGTTGTGATTCTGAAAGCTATGCCACAGATATTTGATATATCAGCAGGGTCATCCGTGGTGGACAGGTTTCAGGTGAGCGTCCAGACTAAGACAGACTAGGAAGGAGGAGAGACAGACTATTTGCAAATACTTAGTCACTGAAAGTCTTATGAATGACAGCAGAACACTTGCAGATAGCACCAGAATAGACAATATTGAAACATGAAGACCACCAAAACATTGTCAGATATAGTGCCAGAAAATGAGCCCCTCAGGTTAATGGTGCAGGTGGTGGTGATGTGCCGTGGAGTCGGTTCCTACTCATAACGACCCTGTACAGGGTTTCCGAGGCTGTAAATCTTTACGGGAGCAGAAAGCCTCATCTTTCTCCCGCGGAATGGCTGGTTGCTTTGAACTACTGTCATTGAGTTTAGCAGTCCGACTTGTAACCACTACTCTACCAGAGCTCCTCCCTCAGGTTGCTAGGCATTCAAAATATGACTGAGAAAGAGCTGCCTCCCTTTGAGACCTTCATTTGCTGATGGGGCACAACTCAAAATCAGGGGAAACAGTTGTTGCTGTTAGGTGCCATCGAGTCAGTACCGACTCATAGAGAACTGTAGGCTTAATTAATAATCACAATATGTAATGTACGAAGTATGAATATAGGAAAAATGCAAGTTGTCAAAAATGAAGAGACCCAGGATAAGCAAAGCACTGCTTAAGAAGAAGAATAAGGTTGGAAACCTCTCACTCCCGACTTCAAAATTTACTACACGTCTACAGTGGTCAAAACAGCCTGGTAATGGTACAATGAAAGAAATATAGATCAATGGAACAGAATCAAGAATCTAGAAATTAACGCATCTACATACAGCCAACTGATTTTTTTTTTTAATGTTTCATTGTGAATTATATGATAGTTTACATGGGAGAACTTTAGTTTTATATTCATTCCATCGTATATCATCTCACTGCCATGGTTCCAATTCCCTCCACACATCCTCAACCACCCAAAGGGTATATCCCAAAAACTCGCTCCCTACATTTCCCCCTCCTCCCCCCAGTTTTCGGCCCACAGTCCCTTTCCCTCTCTGGATCCAAAGTCCCCAGTCACTTCATCACTCTGTGTCATCATCTCTGCCTCCATCTCAGGCATCTCTGTTTCTCTGGGTAGGGTCCCGCTCTCG